CTGGGTATAGTCTCCACCAGCCTGTCTGCCTTTCTCATCCCCCTTGGATTAAGGTGAAATGTTTTTTCTGTCTTGTTACAAAAATAATGTTGCAACGACATCCTTGTATAAATCTTGGATTACATGTGTGCTTGGTTCTTTAAGACAGAGTCCCAGAAAAGGGATTCCTGGATCTGGATGAAAGGATAAAAACTAATTTACTCAACAAATATTTACTGAGTGCTTACTATTTGCTCTTTGTACACATTAAATGTACAATACAGGTGCTTTAAGTCCATGACTAGTGAAAATTTAAGACTCAGCCTGTATCTATTTAACTCTTAGGTAATGAGTATTATAGGTGTGCTGCTCTTCTCATCTCTTAATAAATACAACGTCATTTAATACTGTGAAGTAGCTCTTAGTAAGCCATTTTACAGATGGACAGATTAAGGCAGGGGGATTTTAATTACCCAAGTTTCATAGCCCATAAGTGGCAATGCCAGGACTTGAACCCCAGGAATTCTGGCTTGAGAGTGTATGAAAACCTGTAATCACACTTGCCCCTATACTTTGGGCTTTCCTAAAACAGGGCTGGGTAGTCTAGGTTATGTTTTAGTTACACTATACATCTGTTCTGGAAAAAGATCTAGGTTGATAATTTAATCATGTAATTTTTCAATGTCTCATCCTTCAAATGCTCATTTTTTTGGTGTCATGTCCTCACCCATTTGATTTTGAATTGTTATGATCAAAACGATTCAGATCACTGTGTCCTTGAAAGTAGAATCTTTAGTTAAGGCATGGACAATCTGCTTGTTTCAAACCAATTAAAAGGCTCTTCGCCACCCAGGCTCTTGCTAAGATGGCAGTTTCACCACTGCATGGCTCAAATACTGTGTTGGCATTTCCATGAGAAGTTTTGGAATCAGTAAAGGGAAAGAAAGCGTTTGTTTTTGTGACAGGAGCCCATTCTTCTGCTGTGAAGTTGATTTGGAGGAGAGCTGTGGATTTGGGGAACTAGATCAAACAAATCTGTTAATAAGAAGAATAGGGCCTATTACTGCTGTGGTACAGCCCGCATCCTGCTACATAATAATAACAGGTACTGGTGGGTGCTTTTTCCCATGCATAGTGACTTTAGAATAGCTAATGAAATTTATTACTCATTTGAGAGAAAGAGAGTAAGAGTAAAAAAGCACTATAAATATACAATCCAATTCAGGGTAATCTTGGCACATACCTTATCCCAGTTGGTTCATTTCCAAGAGAAACAGGCACATTAAATTCAGGAGGGACAGCCCAGCCCTTGCTAAAGCTGTAAAGCAATGCTGCTCAGTTCCCAGTTTCACTTAACGTCTCTACAAGCATCAGTAGTGAGAAATTAACCGGTCCCATCATCCTTGTATACATCTGTCTCTTTGACTGAAACACTGAGCAGACAGCTCCCCTGCTCTGGAGAGAACTACTGGTTGTAAAGCCTGGATTCTTGCCATCGCAGATGCATAAAGCATTTGTGGCAAGCTTTGCCAAATCCCGGGCTCTAGATGCTATGGAATATGTCATTGCTGTTTTCTTTTTAAACTTCATATCCACAGAATTATGATAAATTGAATGTCTTGAATGTTACACATTGATTAACAAATTCCCTGGAAAGATAGAACTTCACTCATCTATCCCCCAGAGGCCAAAACTTAATAAATTATATGAAGCAGATCTGCTGGGTTTTGTAGCCCCATGTCAAAATAACCTTAGCGCAATATTCTAAACAAGAAAAGCAATAAATATCATTCATTAATTGGCTGATAGGTCATAGCCTGAAAAGAGCACATAAAAATATGCCTTCTCACAGAGTTTGCAGGCTGTATATTTTATTGGGTGTATCAAGAAGAGTTTAGGATTTAGTTTTTCTGTGGTTTTATTCATAACTTGCGACTTGTGAACTCTTGTGACTGGATTTGTCCATTGTACTAGTTTAGGTGGAATAACTTTAGATAAAGTTTGGGCCCCAATAAAAGATCTTCTTTGAAAGATCTTCTTGTCTCCAGCTGCTTCATTAGTGCTCAAGTTTGAAACTAACGTGAAATAAAATTTAAAAGATACTGAGAGGCAGACTGTAGAAAGCCTTTCTGAACATCCTTATATCACTTGCCTTTAAACCTATGAGTTATGAACACACACTAAAGCCACACTGTCATATTCTCCTACTCGTGGTGTGAGGAAGGGGGAGGAAAGAGAAAAGCTTTAGTAGCCACATCATGGGCTGTTGCTATGGGTACTGATGAGCATTGTGTACTTAAACTGAAAAAAACTTGAGCGAAGGAAAGGAACGTGAACAGCCAACCAAATCTATGACAGAGCTAAGAGTTTCCTGATGGGTTTTCACTGTACCTTTTGCTTTACTTTGCTACATTTTATACATACACACTCATATTAAAAAAAAAATTAAAAAGGAGAGAAAGATTCCAGAATAAGCCAAGTGTTTCAGATTTGAAGACCTATGAGGCAGTTGGTAATATAAATATGCAGTGTTGCAGGGTAAGAGGTTATAGATAAAAAACTGCTGAGGCCTGTAGCTGAACTAGAGAGAAATACCACTACTTAAAGAC